AAAATACAAACAACACTTGAAAACCTCTAATTTTTTCAGACAGAGACATAAGAATTACATTTGGAAAACTGAAGTTTTCTGTTCTCGTATGCATCTCATCCTATAAAAATTCAATTGATTGATACCCTTTTAGATTTTAAAATACTCAGGGTTATTTCAGCTTTATTGCCTTTTATGCCATTGATTGGAAACAATTTTTATTTGTACAAACAACACTTGAAAACCTCTAATTTTTTCAGACAGAGACATAAGAATTACATTTGGAAAACTGAAGTTTTCTGTTCTCGTATGCATCTCATCCTATAAAAATTCAATTGATTGATACCCTTTTAGATTTTAAAATACTCAGGGTTATTTCAGCTTTATTGCCTTTTATGCCATTGATTGGAAACAATTTTTATTTGTTTACATCTGAGCTTAAAATCGCATTGCAGTACTGCATTTAGCTACGGTAGCAGATGTTGGTGACATTTTATAGAGCATAAATAACAGCTGTGAGTTGTGAAGTCATAATTCTGTCAGGGGATCCTTCTTACAGTTTGTCAAACTAAAAGAGCAAATCTTGAGTGACAAATATATATGTATTTGCCAGAAGTTTATTTCAGGCATTGCTGGGTACCCACTGCTTTCATGGAGCTAAATATCATGGAGTGTAGATGCTGCAACAACAAACTTGAAAGTGTCCTAACACCCAGAGCAATTCATACATCTGAGAAGGTGCATCAGCCCTTGCGTGGGAAGAGTCGAGTGTCCGAATGAGCTTCGCAGATCTACCGTGGTGAACAGGGTATTGCTGTCTCAGGGGAAAACTGGTCAACTCACGTGTTTTAAATCAGGCTCAGAGGGGCCTGTTGTTTATTAACGACAAGTAACTGGCAGTCAGTGAACTAATCTTTAAGGATCCGTATGAGCAATGCAATAGATAAACCCCAATACCAGACAAAAGACGTTAATAAATGCCTATAGATTTCTAAGCGCTTTTCTGCAGCTCATCCCAAACGCATACATGAACACATATTTGCGGTTACATGCACCCGATGGCAGTGTGGGTTACAGGTGCACACCTCGCACCCCCCGCGGGATGGGTGCAGGAGGCGGGATGCTCACGGTGCCGTGGGGGCAGCTCGCGGAGGTGGCGGTGCCCACGCAGGACAGCTTCTGGCTGTGCCAACCCCCCCGACCGCTGCTCCGATCCCACTTCTCACAGCTGCTAAACGGCCAGGCTTCTTTTATGCTTCTTTTCAGGCTGACACCTTTTTTCAAAAGTCTCCCGGTTACTTTTTAATCCACCCGATGATTGTCTCAGGCAAGATTTGGCACTGCTAACTTGCTCTTAGCGTTACCGGTTTTTCTCCCAGAACAGTTACAGACATTTTATTCCTGCCTTTATGTTCACATTCCTGCCTTATCACTGTTGTTACCTGGGCCGTGTTGCCCAGAGGGATGCGTGCAGGCTCTCCCAGAGGTGAGGAGGGAGGTGAGCCTCCAGCCCTGTTTTTCTGCTGCTGGGGTCAGACATAGAGTCTCAGCACATCTTCAACTCTCATGTTTGCATCCCTCCTCTGTGAGTACCCTGCTTACTGTAATTTTGAAATTTTTTCGCCTAATGTAAGCATAAGCTCACCAGTCTGAGCTTTTGGAGCAGATGGGGTCTCAAAAGTGAAAAAAGCAAAGGAACACACCTGTGTTGTAACTGTACTGGCCTTACATGTTAGCAAGGTGCCAACTGCTCTCCTCCCTGCGCCGACTGTGGTGTTTCTTGCGCTATGACATGCAGCAGTGCAAAGGGGTTATATATAAGAGAAGCATCTGACTTATTTGAGGTCTTTACAGATAATTAAGGCATCTCCACCTCCGTTCTTCTTGCAGACGTATTCTTTTCTTTTGCCTGGACATTTTTGTCTGTGGGGAAGTTGGGGACTTTCAACCTTGGTCTAAGATTTCTTTGGATGTGTTAGCCCAGGAATGTTTGCCTGCATACATAAATGTGTATTTCATATTTTCTTAGATTTCTCAGTGCATGATCGTAACATATGGATTAAAAAAAGGATTTAATAGGCAGACAGAGTGTCTGCCAGCCTTTCTTGGAGTCAACAAAACAACAGAAACAAAATCAACTTTGAAATCTGTTTTTATCTGATCAATTGTCATTGTAATCAGTTGTCAGATAGCTTTTTAAAGGCAAACCAGTGAAAAATTTAGTGTTTATTGAAAAATATTCCATAAGAAAAAAATGTATTTACATTAATTTTTTTAATATATATGTATAATAGGCAAGTCCAGAAAAGATAATAAAATCTTCCCATACAAGTTAATATTCAAGCGTTGCTGAAAAAACTGTTAACATCTTGCTTTTTTTAAAAAAAAAAGGGGACCTCATGAGAAGACATTTTATCATTTTATTTTCCTGTAGTGCACTTTTCATGCAACCATTTCAATAGATAAATCTAAAATGTTCTGTAAAATTGTACCCGTAAGAGAATGTAAATAGGACATTGAGCCTTTTCTCTCACTAGATGGCATTATTATCCTCAAAACAGTGATAGCCACAGACTGCTTTTTTCAGCGAAAGAGATGTATAAAAGAGTAGATTTAGTTTATTTAGAATTGTAGAATCATAGAATAGTTTGGGTTGGAAGGGGCCTTTAAAGGTCATCTAGTCCAACCTCCCTGCCGTGGGCAGGGACATCTTCAACTAGTTCAGGTTAACTGTATTTTGTTGGGTTCTGCAGAAATGGCAGGTTAAACAAATTTCTGCTGCATCAATGTTAATTCTTGAGCCTGTCTGGACTGTTCATTTTTGCCCTGGGTTTGCTTGTTTTTGCTATCCATACACTGATCAATATTGCAGAGATTGTGCAAACGTGTTTCTAAGTTGACTTGTTAGCAAAATTAGAAAGGGTGATTCAAGGATTAAAATACACAAAAGCAATATAGCCTCAAGTCCATGTGTTTTTTTCAAGTCCGTAAGATACATGGACTTAACATACAAGCCAGTGCTGTGTGAAGAAAAACATGGATTAAGAAATAGGATTCCAGAACTTGGTGTTTCAGAAAAGGGAAGAAGCACAACAAGAAGATCGGAAGTAAGGGTGAAAGGAAAGAAACAATGACTGAGAGCTGGGTGTTCATAGCACAGACGAGATAATAAGCTACTGAAATTGATAGAAGTAAACAGGTGTTTTTTAGGAACAATGAAAAAAAAAAAAAAATTTATCTGAAGAGAAGCATTAAAAAACTTTATGAGCTATATGAGAGCAGAGTAGTTGCCTGCCTTTAGCACCGTACAGTGCCAGCCCAGCCTGATAGAACCTGTTGGATGCCTTGGAGCCAAATCCACTCTAAGAACAAACATCAGCCAGGGGCTCCAACTGAAAAGGAGGCTCACTAGCCCCAAATTAGTATGAAAGTTAAGTAAGGATGTTCAAGGACTCAGCTTGAGGATCTTTTCAATAAGTCTAAGATTCTTCTGTGTTAAGAAGATTTCTTGGCTCTTCTGGATGCAGTAAATTGTCCCTCCAATGACCTTTGGAGCTATGAAGGTGTTCCTGAGAAGCAAATATATAGACTTCAGAAAAAGTTAGTTTTACAAAATTTTGGAACGTGTCCTAACAAAGGATACCCCATGCAACTGTGCTGCACAGTTTTTTTGGTCTTCATATTTGCCATAGGCATGTGTTATTGTCAGGACAAGCTGTTTAGTTTTCATTTTTCATTTGTAAGGGAAAATACTTGACCAAAGCACAAAATTCTTACCCAGCTGTTATTGCCTTCGTGCTGGTTGTGGGTCATAAAAAATGTTTTTGTTTAAATGTGAAAACAAATAAATAGACTCTCCAGTCCTGTGTCTGCTCTTTGTAACAGGCATGCACCCACCCAGGTGCACACACGTATCCCTGTGATGCGTAAAATGTGCAATAAACTGGAGAAGAAAGATTACAGGGATCCCTTCCTGTGTGATACGAGTTTAAGAAGCCATCCCAGGATTCCAATGATGACACAATACATGAAGTGAGAAATTCTATTCTAGTTTTTGAAGTCATTGGGACCCTGTGGCTGGCCTTAACCCCCTAGCAGCAAGACAACAGAAGGAGGAAGAACAGGCAAGCTTGCCATGTATACCTGGCACTAACTTAATAGTCAGAGCTCTCAGTTAAGCCATTTTACATCTTATTTTTCTTCCTCTGCTTTCAGTGACAACAAATTCTGTGTAATATCATCCTTTTGGGATCTGAGCACCATGCCTTCAAGGAAAATACTGGCAAAATCAGACCCATCTTTTCTAAATTCTGAGGATCATCTCTTTCTCTGGAAATCCATAGAAAGTACAGAAAATTACTTACCATCTGCTTCAAGCAAAACAGATGCAAAGGAGCTAGTTACAGCAGCAGGAAAGTTTCAAGAAGATGAGGATGAGCATGGTTTGGAAAATGCTAAAGAGAAGACAACTGATCCACAAACAGATAATCCACAAAAAAAAAAAAGAGGGACAGAGTTAGGGCTATCAGAGGAGGTGATGAAGCAGATATTGTTGAAAAAACAAGAGAGGCCTTTGATTTCTTAGCTAAAGGTAAAAATCAGAAAGCAGTTGATATGCTGTCCAGCGTCATCAAGCTCAATCCACACCTTGCCAGCTCACACATTAACAGAGCCAGCGTCTTTTTGCAGCTGCAAGAACCAACTATGGCCATTAGTGACTGTGACAGAGCTATTAAACTCAATCCCAGTTCAGCACAGGCCTATAAATACCGAGGAAAAGCCCTCAAGCTTTTGGGGCGTTTAAAAGAGGCTGCCTGTAACATTTCCTTGGCTTGTAAATTAGATTCTGAGGCTCAGGCAAAGTTTGAGAGGGAGGAAGAGTGCAGTGAAGAGCTGGGGAGGGATGAGAGTGAGTTGGAGACAGACAACAAAGGGGAGATTGATCCAGAAGAGGATGAACCCCTAAAGATGGGAGATGAGAATTTGGAGGTAACCAGCAATATGACGAAGCAGGCTGATGAAAAGAAAAAGGTGTCTTTTGATGCATTGGGAAGAGGTGAATTTCAAACTGCTGTTCAGCTCTTCATTGATGCCATCAAACTGAACCCACGGCTTAGTACTTTGTATGTCAACCAAGCAGTGTCTTTGTATAGTTGCAAAAGCCAAATGCTGCCATCAGAGATTGTGACAAAGCCATAAAAATCGACCTGAATTCTGCACAGCCATACAAGTGGAGAGGGAAAGCATTTTGGCTCCTGGGTCACTGGCAGCAGGCTGCCAAGGACCTTGCACTGGCCTGCCAGCTGGATTATGATGGAGATACCAATAACATTTTGAAGGAGGTTCACAGAAGAGTACAGAAAATTGCCAGGCACTAAAAAAAGTATGAGGAGAAACAAAAGACAAAGCAATCATTGGCTGCATTGCCAAGGGTGGGGAAATCCATGGCAGATGAGGAGAGAGATCAGCTTCCGACTTCTCAAGAAAAGGAAAAAGCATAGCTTTGGAAT